AATTTTATTACAGAGTTATCATAGTGTGACATTTTTATCCAGGCATAACATGATCATTCTGTCACCATCTCTGGGTACAGGTAACCTTGTCCTGGTCCTCCAGTCATTACTTTCTCTTGCCCCCATACCATATTTCCAGTGAACCTGGGGCATGCTAGAGTTTGTAGGAAGTGAAAGGTTCATTGAAACTGAGACTCCATGGTGCGGCTTCCATGAGGTCATCATCCATGTTAGGGTAAAACTGTACGGTGATACAGCTGTTCTGAAGTCACTGGTACACTTCCAAGTAACCCCTCAACTGTGTTTTATAAGTAAGCCCAGCGGCTTCCATGAGGTCATCATCCATGTTAGGGTAAAACTGTACGGTGATACGGCTGTTCTGAAGTCACTGGTACACTTCCAAGTAACCCCTCAACTGCGTTTTATAAGTAAGCCCGATGAACTTATCACATCTCCAAGTTGGACTTGGGTGGAATCATTTCTTTGCTCTGTCATGAATGTTCTAACTGGGGTGAGAACACAACTGTTAAATGACCTATCTATGGTGAACAGAAGTTTGTTCACATTAGCCCAGGATAAGTTGATGCAACCTGGGTTATAGTGAGTGATTTTTCCCAAGGAGACATGAACAAACATCTCTTCACTCCAGATCAGGAATCAATGAGAGACCAAGAAATTATTTTACCCTAGTCTAGCTCAGTGAACCAATGAGCTTACTGGGTTATTGATTAGAGTAGGGGTGAAGGCTAATATATAGGAGCAAAAAAAAAAAGCCCACACCAGCATCATGAATGACTCATGAACGTTACATTCCTGGAACTCTCTGCCTGATTGCAAGCCACTCTCTGGTTTGGAGAGCCTTCTCTTCCCAGCAATTGTCACTCTTAATATAACCTTTAAAGTGGCCTCAAGAATCCTGTAAGTTTCGGGAGCTTCCTAAGACCTATAAATGTTGTTTTCCTCCTGATTCTTAATGTCTGTTTCTCCTCCCTCCAGGAAGAAGATCTTCAATTAGAGGGAAAATGCTATAAAACAGGTACTTAAAATTAATAACTACATCCCATAGGCATGCATATCTCACATATTAAACATTTCTCATTTTAAAATCTCAAAAAAATATTAAAGATGAACACAAAACTCAAAATATTAAAGACGATGGAGAATGTTTCTATATCTTGAATATAAGTATATTAATATACATGTCTGTAAATGCACATCTAAGGGTATAATGTGTTTAGGCCTTATTCTAAACATGCATTTGTAAAAGTAACAGTTGCATAAAACAGTTCCTAATACAATAGTATTTGGGAAATGAAATGCATAAAAGAATTTCTTATAAACTGATCATCCTCAAGAGTGAGATTGATGAAGGCTGAAATCTATTAAGGATCAAAGGTTTCTACATCTTTGGACTTGCACCTCAACCACCACGGCACAGATAAAGTGACATGTCTCAGTTTGTTGTTTCCCAGGATCAGGACAAACGAGTTGCCTGAAGGAAAAGCTATTCCAGAAGTGTAGTCACATAAAATGATGACATCATTCTCCATCAATTCAGAGCTGGAAATTTTTATGACAAGGATGAGTAAGCACATAGCATACAGCATCAGGAAGGCCAAGACAATTTTCAAGGCTTTCTTGTGGGCTGTGGTACTGGCGTCTCTGGGTATTTGGGCCTTTTGCTGCATCTTCCTGTGATGTTTCCACAGGGAGAACATCAGCAGGTAAAATCCTATCAGGGATAGAATAAATGGAATAAGCATGAACATTGAGTTTGTGAATAAGGAAACTTTGGAAAATTGCATAGAATTACTGGGTGTGTGTCCGTTATACCCACTAATGAAAAAAATCAACATATGTTTCTTTAACTACAGTATTTAAAACCAAGGGGACCAAAGATACCAGCAATGTTACTAAAATCACCTTTTTAATTCTCCACTTCAGGTAAAGAAAAGGAGAGTTTGAAAAACTGGCTATCTTGAGAAAATAAAAGATGCTGAGGCAGGTCGCAATCCAGATGCTAAAATGATTGGTCACTATGCAGATAATGACACTCACTCTAACCATTTCTGAATTCATCAACAAATGTGGGCATAATGTGTTTAGCGTAACACTGATGACCATTGACCACAGCAGAGTGAGTCTGGAGACGGCCAGAGCAGTGAGGATGTGATCCACCAAAGAGATCTTTCTTCTCTTGAACCTCCCAGAGATGTTCCCCAGTGCTATGAATCCATTTCCTAAAATTCCTGTTATGAATTCCACAAAGAAAAAGATCTGAAAGATGAACTTTAGGGTGTGATTCATCATCTGCAAGAAAATCCTTCAGTCTACAATGCCACAGCTGAAGCCGTCCACCATTCATTCAAAATGTTATGTATATTTGATTATTGAAAATTTAGATTTTTCAGTCTTTAAAATTCCATGCACACAATGCTGACTTGAAGGCATCTGAATTTCCTAGGACTTGATTTGTAGTTTTCTTCATGAGAGCCTTGTACTTTCTTCCCAGAGAGACCAGCTAAGCTTCATCCAGATTCTGGTTGTCTTACACACAGCAGTTTGGAATCTTTAGCAATTGAAGGAAATGCTGAATTCTCATGTGTTAACATAAAAACAGAGATCTATTTATTTGCATTCTTTGATTCTTTTGTCTTATCTATACTTTTCAGCTTGACACATGCACTCTGAGCAAGTCATATAAAATTTATAACTCACACAGCAGATTAAAAGAATACAAACTGGTATATGGAACTTTCCAACGTGATAACTTATAAAGATTTTAGGTCTTTGCACCCAGAAGGCCACTCAGCTGGCTAAGCTTTAGAGAATAAGACATACCGAGTCAGACAAGAACCCAGCATAGAATGCAGGAAATGGGCAGCAGGGCCCAACCCTAGCTAAGGAGCTATTATTATTGGCAAATGATGACTGTGGGGTGAGAGAGTGTAGATCTTCTTTAAAAGAGAGACTCTAGATAGGCTGACTAGATTCCAGTACATAAACTTGTACTGGGGGACAGCTGGGTACAAATACTAGACTGGGTAGGACTTAGCATATATGACAAGAGTACCTGATATCTGACTTGTGGGGGATATGAGGAGTACGAAGCGGGAGGGAGGGTCTAAATTTGACTGAGATGTATTAAATGAAATGCACAAAAACTCAATAAAAAAATCGGAGAGAAAAAGGTCCAGGTGGAAAAATATATGAAAATATAGATATATAAATTAATCTATGCACACATTGACCAACGCTCTTTGTACATGGTATCAGTTATCTAACAATCCCTTGGAGTTCACTACTGCTACCTGCAGGCTACTGAGATTATAGCTGTCATTTTGCTTTATACAAATCCATAGTGCATACACCCACACCTACAGACATGTTTAAACATACATTATTGAAATCCATTTCTTTTCTATTTTCATTTAAGTAATCCAGTGCTTTCACTGACCACATTGTTATGCATCCAGCACATGCTTAGAAACATGGCATTTTTGTTGCACTTATTTTATTTATTAATTTCAGCACTGAGTCTCCCTCATGCTAGGCAAGTGCTCTATTAATGAACTTGATCCTTAGCCATTTAAATTTTTTATTTTCAGACAGAGTCTTAACTAAGAGGTTTAGGCTGGCCTTGAAGTCTCTCTGTGGCCCAGGCAGATCTTGACCTTGGGATCCGCTTGCCTTTCATAAGTAACTGGGATTACAGATATGTGCACCCAGGCACAGTTTCCCTCACAGTTTTAAACGCAATTCCAAGTTAGCATTACACAATACTAAATGTAAATATTCATCAAATATTGGGAATATTTCTTGGTGCATAGGAATGAGAAAGAGACCTGTATGTGGGCCCTGAAGCTGTCTCTGAGGTGAATGAGTTTATCCTCACAGCAAGAATTCTTCTCACTTTTACCTCTCCATCCCCATGAGTCTGATTCTTTCGTTACTACCAAAGACTTTTTATCCCACTCTCCTCCCTGCTATCAGCATCTGCTCTGTGACCATCACTTCAGGTCCAGTGTAGATGAGGAACGATGCACAGCCTGGGCAAGATGGGAAATGAGCACATCATACAACCATTCCTCTCTAATATTTAAAGAGTAAATGAACTAGGGATAGTCATATATCACATTACTCTACAACAGAAAAAAGCTAACGTCTCAGTTTTCAGAGGTGGCAAGAAAAGATGGAGAATTTACTACAGAGGCTGTCATAGCACTCAGTCTCTAGTACTATGCAAAGAAGTAAATTCTGTATATTTTGAAAACTCTAATAAGTACACTACAGTTAGCGGGCAGCTACATTGAGAATGAAAATAGCGCAGAAAGGACAAATTTTAAGGGAAAAGTAAAACTGGAAGCCCAAACTATATCATCAGGATAGAGGTAAGAAGTTCCCCCTGCTACTTTTCCAGTAGGTGAATCAACATAAAGAGAAGAGATTTGGGGCTCATAAAACTGGAAGCCCAAACTATATCATCAGGATAGAGGTAAGAAGTTCCCCATGCTACTTTTCCAGTAGGTGAATCAACATAAAGAGAAGAGATTTGGGGCTCTCAGTTTCACAGGTTTCAGCCCATGATGACTTGGCTCCATTGATCTGTGGTCTGTGGTAAGGCAGAATAGCATGGAAGACAGCCTCTAGTGGGACAAATCTACTCCATCATGAGGCCACAAAGCAAAGAGAGAGAATACAGCTCAGGTCCTAAAAGTCCTTTCATAGGCATGCCTCCAATGACATCACTTCCTCCTGCTGGTCCTACCTACTTCTTAAAGGCTTCATCACTGCTCTCAGTTTCACAGGTTTCAGCCCATGATGACTTGGCTCCATTGATCTGTGGTCTGTGGTAAGGCAGAATAGCATGGAAGACAGCCTCTAGTGGGACAAATCTACTCCATCATGAGGCCACAAAGCAAAGAGAGAGAATACAGCTCAGGTCCTAAAAGTCCTTTCATAGGCATGCCTCCAACGACATCACTTCCTCCTGCTGGTCCTACCTACTTCTTAAAGGCTTCATCACCTCCCCCATACTAGTTCAATTTGGTGACCTAGGCTTCAGCATACAGTCTTCCATGGGCATTTAAGATAAATCCATAATTTCCTCTGGCTTATTTCGCTCCAGACGACACAGATAAGCATTGAAAAGAAGACAAATACAAAGGCACAGCATCATACGACGTATATGAACAACTATGCGGAGTGGATGCTCATCACAGAACTTCATGAGCTTTTAGAAGAGGTCCTGTCTAAGGGTTACTCTCACCCTTGAGGAGCTGGTCCTGAGGCCCCACCACTACGGGTTGAAACAACTTAGATTTCTACTTGAACAACAGGTCCTTTCCAGTCTTTTCCAGACAGGTGAGAATGAAATCAAAGGCAATTTCCACACAGTGTATCTCAAAGCCAGAAGAAAAAAGTAAGAATTTGAGAAGAGCAGTGCCTTCATCCATTTCCAAACAACATTGTTTCAGGATGTATGTAGAATTCATCAGTGAGATTCAC